GTGGTTTCTGATCTTCATCAGCAAGTATTTTAAGTCCTCTTTGCTTTCAGCAAGGAAGGTTATATCATCTTCATATCACAGGCTGTTAATGAGCCTTCCTTCAATTCTTAAGCCATGTTCTTCTTCATATAATCCAGTTTCTCAAATTACTTGCTCAGCAGACAGAAAAAGTATGGTGAAAGGATACAACCTTGATTTTAAACCATCCTGTATCCCAGTATTTGTTCATACCATTACCTCTTGCTCTCTGTACAGGCTCCTCATGAGCACAATCAAGTGTTCTGGGATATCTATTCTTCGCAGTGTTATCCATAGCTTTTCATGAATCATTTGCATAGTCAGTAAAGCACGAGTAAACACCTTCCCGGTATCCTGTTTTTAGCCAAGATCTATCTGACATCAGTAATGATATGTCTAGTTATACATCCTCTTCTGAATCCACCTTGAATTTCTGGCAGATCCTTGTCAATGTACTGTTGCAGTTGTTTTTAAATTATCTTCAACAAAATTTTACTTGCACATGATATTAATGTTATTGTTCAATGACTTCACATACCATTGGGTTACCTCTCTTTGGAATGGGCACAAATATGGATCTCTTCCTATCAGTTGGACAGGTAGCTGTCTTGCAAATTTCTTGGCATATATGAGTGAGTGTCTCCAGTACTGCATCAGTTATTGAAAGATGTCAGTCAGTTTGTATTCTGTCAATTCTTAGAGTCTTGTTTTTGTCCAGTATCTTTAGTGTAGCGTGGAGTTCTTGCTTCAGTACCATCGGTTCTTGATCATATGCTACTTCTTGAAATGGTTGAACATCTACTTTTTTTTTTTTTTTTTTTGGTAGAGTGACTGTACATTCCTTTCCTTTCATCTTCTTTTGATACTTTCTGTATCATCATTATTCAGTATTTTGCTCCTGGAATCTGATGGTGTATAAGAAAGGTATTTGCAGTGAAGAAGTCATTAGTCTTACAAAACGTCTATCATGTGATCTCCAGCATAGTTTTTATCACCGAGGCCATATTTTCCAACTACTGATCCTTCCTCTTTGTTTTCAATCTTCACAGTCTAATTCTCAGTAATTACCTGTACACCTTGAATAATGTTTGATCAATTTCAGGCTGAAGAAGTTGGTAGAATTCTTCAATTTCATCATCACTGGTTTTAGTGATTGGTGCATAAATTTAAATAATAGTGGTATTAACTGGTTTTCCTATTATTAATAAACAAGTGGTATTAACTTCTTGTTAAGTGCCATTGAGTATCCTATCACAGACACCAATGTACTTCAAAGTAGACCTTGAAATGTTCTTTTTGATGATGAATGCTACGTCATTTCTTCTGAATTTGTCATGCCTGGCACAGTAGACCATATGATTCAAAATGACCAAAACCAGTCCATTTCCTCATTAATAGGTAGGATGTCAGTCTTCATGTGTTTCATTTTATTTCTGACCTTTCCACTTTTCCTAGATTCATACTTTGTACATTTTATGTTCCAATTAATAGATGCTAGCAGCTGTTTCTCCTCATTTTGAGTTGTGCCCCATCAGCAAATGAGGTCCCGAAAGCATTACTCCATTCTTGTCAACATGATCAACTCTGCTTTGAGGAGACAACTTTTCCCCAGTTGTATTTTGAGTGCCTTCCAAACTGAAGGGCTCATCTTTTGGCACTATATCTGACAGTATTCTATTCACAGTGCTATTCACAGTGTTTTCATCTTCTGACACTATGTCTGACAATGTTCCACTGCTATTCATAAGGTTTTTGGTGGCTAAACATTCAGAAGTAGTCTGCTTGTCCTTCTTCCTAGCCTGTCTTAGTATGGAAGCTCCACTGAAACCTGTCCACTAAAATACCAGTAGCATAGCTTCCAGCATCACAGCAAGACACAAGCCACCACAGTACAACCAACTGACAGACATAAGTCCCAGCAAGCCCCAAAAGGTAAAGTACAAATTGTGACCGTGGAAGAGGTACACTATATTACAAGAGAATTTCTTGATTTTTCTAATAAGTACAAAAAGATACCTAGAATATGTGCGGGAATGGCTATTAAGGTATGAGCTAATGGTGCAAGGAACATACAGTTGGATCAGTCTGGGCCCACTAATCACAGATTCTTCATTCACTGTTTCAGCTCAAGAGGTTAGGAGAGGATCTAACAGTTGATTTGGTTGGTTCACTGAAGTGTGGATTGCAGGGTGGCATACAATAAATCAAACTGAAGTACCAGACCTACCTTAGTATACAATGGAAGAAGGTATCCAAAGACTTAGGAAACTTGGCATAGATTTATCAGGATAGACCCATAGACCCAAACATAGAATGCCCAGAGGACACAACTTTTACCATAACAGTAAGGAACAAACTTGTGAAGGGAGCTCCAATTTCCTTGAAGACTGTTGTGTTTGCTTTATTAAGTAAGCCAGATTTGACAATGGGAACTACCCTAATTGAATTAAGACACCTAACCACAATGGGTGACTCCTGGTGTGGCACTGCAGGCTCAACACTGGATTACGAATTACAAATTCAATTAGGAATTACAAACCCATCAACTGACTAGGAACCAACTGGAAAGCACTTTGCAGCCATCACAGTGGGGCCGATTTGACCCCAGGTTGTAGTGAGGGCCAAGTGGCAACACTTAATCAACAAAGACAAGGTGAGCATGGTTACCCTAAGGGACAGCAAAGTCAAAGTAGTAATTAGAATAGTCTGACTTATGTGGATTTACAGTGATAACTATTTAGGAAGTGAAATAGAAGGGAAACCTACTAAATATTTACTTGAGCAGTAAAAGTAGAAGAACTCCAGGTCAAGTGAATGTCAGTGTAACCTGACTCTCCAGAATAGAGTGTCACAGTCCCTCAATCAATTCCCAAACTTGATCCAGTTTATAGACTCAGAACCCCTTGAAGGAGGGGGAGGTCAAATCCTCTTGAAGAAGGACCCTCTACACTACCAACAATTTATACTGTTAGCTTTTCCCCGAGCCTTCCCCGAAGGGATCTACAGACTTTTACAAGAGTGACTGTTCACTGAGGAAAACGATATAATCAGACTTTTTAGGGACTTCTGGGCACTAGCTCTGAATTTAACTAATTCCAGGAGACTCAAAACATCACTGTGAACCATGGGCCAGAGGAGGAGTATACAGAGGTCACGTTATTAATGGAATCTTAGCTAGGTCTATCTCACTTCAGTGTGTCCCCGAACTTTGTCCTGTGGTGATTTCCCCAGTTCCAGAATGCATAACCAGAACAGACATACTCAGCAAATGGATCCTTGACACATGGAATAAGGGCTATTATGGTAGAAAAGCCAAATAGAAGCCACTAGAAACTACCTTAACTTAGAAAAACAGTAAGCCCAAAGCAAGACTACTTTCCTGGAGGGATTGCAGAGAGTAGTGTCACCATCAAGTCAGAAGCAGTGATTCCCACCACATTCCCATTTAATTTACCTATCTGCCTGCCAAAAAATAGGTGGCTATTGGAGAAGTGGATTATCATACACTTATCCAGGTGGTGACTCCAATTGCAGCTGTTCCAGATGTAGTTTCATTGCTTAAGTATATTAATACATCTCCTGGTACCCAGTATGCAGCTATTGATCTGGACAATTGCCTTCTCTCAAGTTCAGTTGCTAAGGACAGCCAGAGGAAGTTTACCTTAGCTGGCAAGGTCAACAAAACAGCTTCATCATCTTGCCTCACAGGTACATCAGTTATCCTATAAGGCCTATAAGGCCATAATTTAGCCCACAGGAAGACTGACTGCCTTTCCCTCTCACGAGATGTCATACTGGTCCATTACATGAATGACATTATGATGATTGGACCTAGTAAGGAAGGAGTACCAATGACTCTAGACTTAATAATATATCTGCATGCTTGTTGTTGTTGTTGTTATGTGCTGTGGAGTCGCTTCCGACTCATAGTGACCCTGTATAGGGTTTCTGAGGCTGTAAATCTTTACGGGAGCAGAAAGCCTCATCTTTCTCCCATGGAACAGCTGGTAGTTTTGAACTGCTGATCGTAAGATTAGCAGCCTGATTTGTAACCACTACGCTACCAGAGCTCCTTTAGTTTTGAGTGGGGCCCACAAAAAGAGAAGGCTCTGCAACAGGTTCAGGCTGCCGTGCAAGCTGCTCTGCCACTTGGACCATATGATCCAGTAGATCCAATGGGGCTTGAAGTGCCAGTGGAAGACAGAAATGTTTTTGGAGTCTTTGGCAGGTCCCTATTGGTGAATTACAGCATAGACCTTTAAGATTTTGGAGCAAAGACCTGTTATCCTCTGCAGGTAACTACCCTGCTTTTGAGAAACAGCATTTGGCTTGTTACTGGGCCTTATTAGAGACTAAATGTCTAACCATGGGCCACCAAGTCACCACGTGACCAGAGCGTCCCATGATGAACTGGGTATTGCCTGACCCACAGTGACAAAGCTGGACATGCACAGCAACATGCCATCATTAGATGGAAATGGTATGTATTTCTAGCAGGACCTAAAGTCACAAGTAAGCTGCATGAAGAAGAGTCCTAGATGCTCATGGGTTCCACTGCTATCACGTGACCTTCCCTCTGCCAGTCTGCATCTATGACCTCATGAGGAGATCCTTATGACCAGTTAACTGAGGAAAAGAAAACTCATGCTTCTCCTATTTTTGGACATGTTGTCAGGAGAGATAAGGCCCTAGAGAAAGAAACCATGCTGGGTAAAGTGGAGGGTCTGCAAAAAAGGGGAAGACCCCCAACAAGATGGAGTAATACAATGGCTGTAACAATAGACTCAAACATGATCACAGTTGTGAGGATGACACACGACTGGGCAGTATTTTGTTTTGCTTTGCATACAGTCCCTATGAGTCAGAGTTGACTCAACGGCCCATAACAACAACAATCATTTTGCACAAAAAGATGGGTGTGAAGAAGATATGAATCAGTGGATGAAAGGAACTGAAGGGCAGGATGAGATTCCCCCACATACCTGCACTGATGCCCACGAGCAGTCTTCCCAGCATGATCATCTCAAATGAACCTGCTTTGCGGCTGAAGCCAAACAGGATCACTGCCACCACAACAAAGATGTTATTCACCAGAAGGGACTTCTTCCTTATGAAAGTGGAACATAGAACAGGACAGGTTCAGAACCAGGTTTAGGGAACCCAAAACACAACAAAATCAAATATGCAGGAAGGCAGGTTTCTGTTGGTCCAATTTGGGTTACATACCTACCCATTCTTTTTTTATTATTATTAACCTTTTTACTGTAAATTGAGTGATGGTTTACAGAGCAGAGCATAAGTTTTACATTCAACAAACCATACACTTTGTTTCATTCACTACATGGTTGCAATACCCTCCACGTACCAACAGATAACAGCATTTCCCTCTATTCACTTTAGCTATTGCATTCCTCCCTGTGTCTCCCTCTACCTTCATCTTTCCACTGCTAACCTTCCTCTTGTTTCATATTGCCTACACTGTCACCCTGGTGTGGTGCTGTAGGATAAGCACTGGACCACAAGGTCGGTTTGAACTCAACGGCACTTAATAACAATAGCCCTGTTACCCATGTCAATATGTGTATACCCCCAACCCATGAATAAGTTTTCCTCCTCCCATTCATAATCATCATAAAATGTTTGTCAAGAAAACTTTATTAATTTTTTAAAACATTGGTCTCATACAATATTTTTGTCCTTTTGTGATTGACTAATTTCACTCAGTACAATGTCCTGGTGTGATGCCATAGTATATAAGCACTTGACCACAAGGTCAGTTTGAACTGCAAGATCGGCAGTTCAAACTCACTAGTTGCTCCTCAGAAACCCTATACTGGGTCGATATGGGTCGGAACCTACTTGCTGGCACTTAACAACAACAATGTATCTGAACTGAGTTCTGGGTCATGTTGTCCTCGATGGTAATCAGATTGTTGTCTGCTGTTGTTGGTTCTCAGTCCAAAGAACACCCTCTAGCATTTTTTGCAAAGTTGGTCTGGTCATTCATTACAAATTCTTTTACTTTCTTTTTATCAGGAAATGTCCTAATTCCACCATAGTACTTGAAGACAGCTTTGCAGGTATATGATTCTTGGTTGGCAATCTTTTTCTTTCAGAGTTTTATATATGTCATTTCATTACCTTCTTGCCTGCATGGTTTCAGTTGAGAAATCTGAGTTTAGTCTTTATTGGTTCTCCTTTGTAGGTAACTTTTCGTTTTTCCCAAGCTGCTCTCATGATTCTTTCCTTGTCTTTGATTTTGGAAAGTTTTAGTATGATATGTCTTGGTAATTTTCTTTGGTGATCTATTCTGTTTGGGGTTTGTTCAACTTCTTGTATGTTTATCTTCTTGTCTTTCATAATGTTAGGAAGTTTTCTTCCAACAATTGTTTGACAATTTTCTCTGTGCTTATCTCTTCCTGTTCTAGAATTCTAATCACCTGTAAGATGTTCCTCTTCATGGGCACATAACTTTTAGGTTTTCTTTGGATTTTTTTCATTCTTTTTTCTGATTGTGTTCTTCTAGCATACTAGTATTGAGACATTTATCTTTAAGCTCACCAATTCAGGCTTTTATTGCTTTGCATCTACTCCTTTGCCCTTTCAATGTATTGTCCATTCCTGAGATCACAGTATTAATTTTCTGGATTTCTAATTGCAGGCTTTGTATTATTTCAAGTTTTACATTTATTTTGTCAGTTTGTACTTGTAGTGTTTTCTTGAATTCTTCCAAAGTTTTTATTGTGTTCTCCTTGCTTTTCTTGACCTACTGATCCTTGGAAGGTACCTAATTATCATTCTTTTGAATTCTTTTTCAGTTAGTTACATAACCTCTTCTTCAGAAACGTCTTCTGCCTCTGCATCTTGTTTCTTCGTGTGAGCTAAAGATGTCTGTTGTCTCCAGGGTGTTGTGAGTTTGTCATATTTGTAAAAACAAACAGTGTAGTTGTTGAACCCAGGAGAGGAGAAATCTCTGGAGGGCTCCTGAAATTCAAGGAGCTCATGAGGTAATTGTGGAAGGGATGTGACAACAGAGTTCCTGGCCCTAGATGGAGTTCCTGTTGGCCTCGGTGTTATTTATGTTCAGGGCACTCAATCCAGAAGTAGTTCATGTGGACCCTTGATGGAGTTGGGACAGGCTGACTGGTTAAATGCTGGTCTGGTGGCTCTGTGGGTTTTATATAAATTGACCTTGTTGAGTGCTTATCCTATGGTGGCTCACCAGGACTCCATTATCTGGAGCTGAGCCCATTTGAATCCAGGTACCTATGCATTACACCAAAGCAGCACAACTAGCCTCCAATTCACACTAGTGTGATTTTTAACCACAGGGCTCTTAAATCCTGGAGAGCAGGGTCTGCACTCGAGGTATACGAAAGGGAGCTGGCCACACTTCTAGTCACCAGGGGTATGTGGGCAAAGAATAGAAACCACAAATTTTCCACGTGAATCTGCTCTGCCAGGCCTCCCTCCATTGCCAAAGCTGCTCACAAGATGCTGGAACCAGGTCTGGACAGCGGCTCACCAGTCAGTCTCCTTCTCTCACATCCCTACTCAGTCTTTCCACCCACCAGCACTCCATCCACCTAACCTTTCTTCTGAAGTTCAGGGCGCCAGAATCTCATCTGTGTCTCTTTTATTTTGTCTCTCATAT